CAAACTTGACATTGTGACAATAGGAGAACCATTTTTTGGTGCTATATAGAACCCTTTTCAAAAAGGTTATATAGAAACATCTAGAGCACATTCCCCATCAGTCTGAAGAAGCATTTCATGAGGCAAAGAACCCTTTAATCATGCAGAGGGTTCTTTGAGTGTTCATGGTTCTATATCGAACCGTTTTCATCATTTTTCAGAGTGTAGTTCAGACTGTCAGACCGGCGCTGATCTGAATTTTGAATCTGAGACGGGACTGAGAGGAGTGTGTGGGCTGGAGGAGCAGAGTGCAGCACTGATGCTAGATTAAGCCTCGATCTAAACTCACTTTAACCATCATTGCAATGAAGCCCTACAAATCTGCAGTAAAACCATTTAAACCACATGATGAGGCCGCAGTGACTCTCCAGTTAGCACAGCCGCCGTGCAGAACTCAGACTGCGGCTACAAAAACGTTGAACAAAATTGGGCAGATCAATTGGTGGTGAGGACCATGGAGTAAAGATGACATCATGATGTAAACAATATGACCTTGAAGTTTATACGTTTATATATTTATTGGGTTACAAGAATGAAAAATCTTGAAAACGTAATAATACTAATACTACTACTGCTACTACTACTATGACTACTACTACTACTACTACTACTAATAATAATAATAATTAAGTGACCCTTATTAGTCCCACAATGGGGAAATTCCACCTCCACATTTTAACCCATCTGTGCAGTGAAACACCACATATACACTAGTGAACACACACACTAGGGGCAATAAGCACACTTGCCCAGAGCAGTGGGCAGCCCTATCCACGGTGCCCAGAGAGCAGTTGGGGGTGAGGTGCCTTGCTCAAGGGCACTTCAGTCATGTACTGTCGGCTCAGGGAATCGAACCAACGACCTTTCAGTGCTTTTTCCCTGACCTCCAGCCCTAATTATAATAGTAGTAATTACTTACAAAAAAGCTCCCTTCAGAATGTTTAGGCTTTTTGGGTCTTCAACCTGAGAGCTTGGGGCTTCCAACTCAGTTGCAAACATTAAAACTACTAAAGATTTACAAAGTCAGATTGGAAAAAGTAAGATAAAAGTTAGACAAATTAAACTTTTCTGCCCGCTCTGACCTGCCTAGATGTTTTTAGGCCAGTTGGTTATTGACCTAGCCATGGTAACATAAACAACACAGCAGCTGGCAGTCTGCTTTTTAAGCTTTTGTTTTCTGGCAGAAGTACAACTTTGAATCTGTGTGAGATATCAGATTATGAAGGTAAAGTTATGTTCAACCACGGTGATAGGTGTGAGTGGATAATTTGGGAATTTGGCCAAACATGCATTGTTAGCATTTGCTAAGGTGTAGTAATGTGTCTAGGTGGCTATGACAGGTAACAAATTTATGTTTATGGCATTTGGAGATGCTCTTATCCAGACTTACAATTTGATCTTTATGACAATTTGATGATTTTATACAGGTAGGTGAAGGCAGTGTTAGGAGTCTTGCCCAGGGACTATAGTGTAGGGTGGTTGCCCAAGTGGGGAACTGAACCCCAGTCTACAGCATAGAAGGCAAGATGTGTTACCCATACTCGGTAGCAGACGGAGAGTCTGAATAGCTATATTAACAAAGTGCTCTCCAAAGCACAGTTTCGCTTGTGTGCGACCCTCAGTTAAAGGCTCTGTTTAAGGCATGTTCACTGGTAGTTGGTCAGGCACAACTAAAAAGACTTGTGTGGGATAGGGCTTTGGATAGCTGGAGAAAAATCAGCCCTAATTCTTATCGGTGGAGAAAAACTCAGTGTCAGCTTCTTCCAGCATAGTCCTGCCTACCTCAAATCCAACCAAGGAAAGATAAAAGAGCAAGAATCTGTCAGTCAAATTGAGCTACACTGTTCTTCTTTTGGCCATCAGTAGTACAGTCACATGGAGCCTTTAGGAAATAAAGATTAAGGAAATTAATCAACAGCCCCTTTAATAATTAAAATACTATTACCGGCTTTGATTGCTGGTGCACCCCCTGCCAGTTAGCTAGACTGTTTATTAGCCAGTGTGTGATAGTACAATAACAATAAGCTAGCCATCTGTGGCCTTGTGTAAAAGTAGACTGAATGAACTGGCTAACTCACCCCCTTCTACACTTCCTGTGCTTCCTCGCTCTGATATCCTAAAAATCATTTCATTACTTTCATTTCTTCATTTATTTGCATCTTGTTTAAGAAACTGCCTGCTTTTAATCATGCTCTGCCCCCTGCCCCACTCTTTGGAGGTCCTCTTCATCTCCCTCATGCTAGCCTTCATGGTTTAGCTTTCCCACAATCTTAAAAAAGATGGTTCTTCAAGGGTTCATGAGTAAAGACAATGGTTTTATGACTTTATGACTTATGACAATGGTTTTATGACCCTTTATGAAAACGGTTCTATATAGCACCAAAAGTGTTCTGCTGTTGTTTACACACTTAAAAAGGATGGTTCTTCAATGGTTATTTAGCAAAGAAAATGGTTCTATATAGAAACATGAACACTCAAAGAACTCTTTGCATGATTAAAGAGTTCTTTGCATCATGAAAGACTTCATCAGATTAATTGAGAATGTGTTTTAGATAGTTCTATATATAGAACCTTTTTGAAAATGGTTCTATATAGCACCAAAAAGGCTTCTTCTATTGTTACAAGCTTGACACCATAACACTAGAAGAACCTTTTTTGGTGCAATACAGAACCTTTTTCAAAAATATTTTATATAGAACCATATGCAACACATTCTCCATCAATCTGAAGAGCAATTTCACCATGCAAGGAACCAATTAAGCATACAAATGGTTCTTTAAGTGTTGATGGTTTTATGAAGAAACATTGTCTTTACTAAAGAACGCTTGAGGGACCATCTTTTTAAGAGTGAACTTGGTGTCCTTTGTTCTGGGGGCACTGGCATTTGCGTGACTGAGAACACATGGACCGCTAACATGAACTCTAGTGCCCGGCACATACCGTTTGTCCTAGGATGACATCAAAAATGACCATGCATTTCTTTCCTTCTCACTCTGTCAGTGGCCCACACACATACCGGCCCACCGGGAATTGCCCCTGTCCTCCTGATGGCCAGTCCACTCCTGGTGGCTGGAGAGGTTGGCAATGGTTTCACAGATCATGGGTTGAATCCCAGGTGGTGGCTGCAGCACTAGACCAATGCACATCACCCTGAGTTGCTTAAAAGAGAGGCTTCCATCTTTCCAGTTGGCAAAAAGAAGTCACTCTGAAAAGTGTATAAACTTCTTTTGAGTCATGGTTCAACAGTTCGATACTCTGGTTGATAGTTTGTACAAGCCTCGATTTAGAAAAGGATGCACTCTTTATAAGATTTGGATTTCTTCAACCTGCTACGTCCTCCTACGTTGTTCCAGCAAGCATGACAGGCAGGGTTCTCACAGAAAACCGTTACGTATGAGCTTGACTAGCTGGATATAAATATAACACCAAAAATACCCCCCCACCGCCTTTACACTTCCTCACATCCGCCATGAGTCACCCACTTAAAAATGTAAAATAAGCAACACAGAATGTCCAGTTAATTTGAATAAATTAATACAGCCATAGGTTTTCACTCTAAAATGAGTAATAATTTATTCATAATATAATAACACATATAATAAAACAAATGATTCAAAACAGACAGTCGTACAGCATATCAATTGGTCATACAGAATTCATGAACAATCATCACATTATCTGTTTACCTGAGTTCATGGTTCCAAATCTAAACATTTAAATACATCTTTATGAACCTGAAAAAGTGCTAAGAGTTAAAATGCCCTGAGGAATCCACGTATATATGTATATAGATACACTCACTGGCCTCTTTATTGCAGATGTATGCAAAAGTTTGGGTGCCACCGGTCAAATTTCATGTTTCATGAAGTGAACACATCCTCTACACATAATACACTTCATTTACTGTTTTTTTTTGTTTTTTTTTTTGCTGAATTTAACGTACTGGTTATAAAAATAAAACATAAAATGTGGCCTGTGCAAATAATATATGGCACATTTTATATTGTATACTTTACTTTTTGTCAAATATGTTAATCTTACCAAATAAATAGAAATATAGCACTATGAATTGCAGAAAGATGACATGTTTAAGTGTGTTCTCTATAGAGGATATGTTAATCTCTGTTAGAAGAGTGTTCAAACTTTGGCATACAACTGTAGGTACACCTGCCTTGTACCTACACTCATTGTTCACTTTATCAACTCTTATGAACTTGTGGACAGAACGTCCGGTGAGCACAGTCAGAAGATTCTGTTTATAGCCTGCACCAGGGGTCGGCAACATGCAGCTCTTTTCTGCCCCGTTGTGGCTCCACAGCAAAATTAGATTTGTAGGTAAAAATAAAATTATCCTCCTTTACAGTAAAATAAAGCTCTGCTGATCGTTCAACACAGTTTAACAATAAATGGTCTTAAACACTGGAGTTAATGTAGAACAGCTAATTCACCCTTTAATCCTGAAGATCAGCGCAGACTGGTCACCATAGCAACGCAGACAACAGTCTCGCCTAGCTACTAGAAGGCGATGAGAAAGAAAAGGCAAAGAGAGAGATTTAAGACGAACATTGATAATTTGGAGACTAATAGACTTATTTGCATTTATAATCACTCCAGCTGGTTTCCTGATATGTTTAATCTGCAACGAGAAATTGTCAAACACTAAAAAAGTTGCGAAGCTGAAGTAGGTTTCTCATTCACCAGCTTCTTATTCGAATTCTCCCATTCCACCTTAAATGGTGCAGCAGTTACATTCTGGCACCTCCGGTACTATTTAAGGCGGAACAGGAAAATTCGAACAAGAAGCTGGAGAATGAGAAGCAACTTCAGCCTTGTAAAAAGTTGAACATTGAGAGACATTTTACAAGAAACTGTTCTAGGTTTGCGGAAAAGTTTCCTGCTGGAGATGCGAGAAAAGCAGCTATAGCTGAGCTAAAGCTTAAAGCAGAGCAAAGTCAGAGCAAAGCCTTTTTGTTTATATTATATTTTTTTGCCTATACTAGGACATCAGCACACACTGAGACACATTTACAGCCAAGATGGAAAAAAGGACATAGAAGGCATAGAATTACACTCTGTTCCTCTGGAAGGAGTCTACTCACAGTTCCTCAATGAGTGGGAGATCTTTTAGTGCTGTAGCACTGAGCTGTGGAATTCCCTACCGAAGTCTCTTCGAGACTGTACTTCCCTCAACGTGGTTTCTCGAGTATTTCCTCCCTTAAATCTTTGCTGATAATAATACTATTAAATAAATAAATCATATCTGGTAAGTGTTGGTCCTGTTGGTGATGAATGTAAAGGGGGGGCTAAACAGATGTACTACAACGTGCACCTATATGGTAAGTGGACCTGATTAAATGGACAGCAAATGTAGATACAAGATAGGTGTATTTAACAAAGTGACCAGTGAGTGGAAATACCCAATCAGTAATTAATGTAACTTGCAAGCCAGGCCTCTTTTTGATATTTTTGTAGTACTCCAAAAATATACAATATTAACATTGCCTTTTCTTTTGGGCACTTCTTTCTGTGCACTTGGTAAAGTCAGCCTAATCCCGGAGTTGCTGGGCTGCTGCTTCAGCAATTACTGATTGGAAATTTAACATCATAATATTGTATTTAATAAAAACAACACTGTAAAGTCATTTACACACCTTAATACAAATATAAGACTTGACAATTATACGATGCAAGACAACTTGAGAACATGAGGAGAGAGACTGAATTTGTGTCTGCATGTGTGTATACATTTGTGTGTGTATCTAGATCATGAAGACACCAAAGAAGTTATCGTAGACTCCAGATCGTACCACTCTACTGTCATTGACCTGCACGTACACACTGTCCCCACTGTAAAGCAGGAAGACTCCACCCAGGAAGCTGTTCCCCACATCCGCACGGTTCTGCTCCTGCCTCTGAGAGCCCACACAGCTGTACCTGCAGAGAGAACCAACGCAGAGCCAACACATGATCAACACTGAATTAACATAAGACCAAAACATAAAAACACAGCACCAATCAAAACCCAGCACATGACCAAAATATGACCAAAACAGCACCAACCCAAACCCAACAAATGACCAAAACATGACCAACACAGTACCAACAAATGACCAGAACATGACCAACACAGCATCAAACCAAACCCAACAAATGACCAAAACATGACCAACACAGCACCAACCCAGACCCAACACATGACCAAAACATGATCAACAAAGCACCAACCCAGACCCAGTACATGACCAACACAAACCCATAACATGGTCAAAACATCATCACAGACACAATACATGACGAACACAAGCCCAAAACATAGCCAAAACATCATTAACACAGATATCAACATTACCTAGCAGATAGAACCTCGTGTGTATATACAGATGGTCACAAGTCAAGTTTCTTGAAGATCTCCAAGGGAGTCCCCCAAGGTTCAATTTTAGCCCCTGTATTATTTTCTATTTTTATAACCAACATTGCAAGGGACACAGATGATAGAATAGTGTACTCAATTGCCGCTTCTCTGAGTCAAGCTGTTCAGCTGAAAGAAAAAAAAGAAAAGCTTTTTTCCTATTTTGTGCCTTGGTCATGCAATAACCTTCAGAACATACTACAGCCTAATGACCCTAATCACCCTGAGTGAGTTTAAAGCTTTGATAAAAAATGCATTACTGAAAAGTGCTATTCCTAAGCTGAATTTTGTGTTTTGTATTATGTATCTGTTGTTCTTTGTCTGTTATGAACATGTTCTATTTCAGTTGTCTCATGTATGTTTTGTTACACTTGATTTTATAATTCCTGTACCTGGAACTGGTGTGCTATCTTGGCCAGGTCACCTCAAAAAAGAGATTTTAATCTCAAGAGACTTTCCGGTTAAATAAATACATTTTTAAAAATTAAAACCCACCAACACATAACCAACAAATGACCAACTCATTACCAACACAGAGACAACTCATTACCAACACAGACACAACACATCACCAGCACAGACAACTCATTACCAACACAGAGACAACTCATTACCAACACAGACACAACACATCACCAGCACAGACAACTCATTACCAACACAGAGACAACACATTACCAACACAAACCCAACACATCATCAGCACAGACACAGCGCATTAAGAAAACAGACACAACGCCAACACAGACACAATTCATCACCAACACAGACACAACTCATTACTAACGCAGGCACAAAACAGACACAACGCAGACACAAAACAGACACAATGCATCACCAACACAGACACAACTCAATACCAACAGACACAATGCCAACACAGACACAACTCATCACCAACACAGACAAAACTCATCACCAACACAGACACAACACCAACACAGACACAACTCATTACCAACACAGACATAACGCCAACACAAACTCATCACCAACACAGACACAACGCCAACACAGACACAACTCATTACCAACACAGACACAACGCCAACACAGACACAACTCATTACCAACACAGACATAACGCCAACACATACTCATTACCAACACAGAAACAACGCCAACACAGACACAACTCATCACCAACACAGACACAACTCATCACCAACACAGACACAACACCAACACAGACACAACTCATTACCAACACAGACATAACGCCAACACAAACTCATCACCAACACAGACACAACGCCAACACAGACACAATGCATCACCAACACAGACACAACTCAATACCAACAGACACAATGCCGACACAGACACAACTCATCACCAACACAGACACAACACCAACACAGACACAACTCATCACCAACACAGACACACCCACACAACTCATTACCAACACAGACATAACGCCAACACAAACTCATCACCAACACAGACATAACGCCAACAAAAACTCATCACCAACACAGACACAACTCATTACCAACACAGACATAACGCCAACACAAACTCATTACCAACACAGACATAACGCCAACACAAAACTCATCACCAACACAGAGACAACTCATTACCAACACAGACACAACGCCAACACAGACACAACACATTACCAACACAGACATAACGCCAACACAAACTCATCACCAACACAGAGACAACTCATTACCAACATGGACACAACTCATCACCAACACAGACACAATTCATAACTAACACAAATCCAACACATCACCAACCAACAACCTAACACATAACCAACACAGACACAACTCAACATCAACACAAACCCAACACATAACCAACACAGACACAACTCAACATCAACACAAACCCAACACATAACCAACACAGACACAACTCAACATCAACATAAGCCCAACACACACCTCACTACAACCTGCAGAGGAGCCAAATACAAACCCAGCACACATTTCAATGCAATCTGCAGAGGAACCCAACATACACCTCACTACAACCTGCAGAAGAACCCAACACACACTTCACTACAACCTGCAGAGGAACCCAACATAAACCCAACGCACACTTCACTACAACCTGCAGAGGAACCCAACACAAACCCAGCACACATTTCACTACAACCTGCAGAGGAACCCAACACACACCTCACTACAACCTGCAGAGGAACCCAACACACACTTCACTACAACCTGCAGAGGAACCCAACATAAACCCAGCGCACACTTCACTACAACCTGCAGAGGAACCCAACACAAACCCAGCACACACTTCACTACAACCTGCAGAGGAACCCAACACAAACCCAACACACACTTCACTACAACCTGCAGAGGAACCCAACATAAACCCAGCGCACACTTCACTACAACCTGCAGAGGAACCCAACACACACCTCACTACAACCTGCAGAGGAACCCAACACACACTTCACTACAACTTGCAGAGGAGCCCAACACAAACCCAGCGCACATTTCATTACAACCTGCAGAGGAACCCAACACAAACCCAACACACACTTCACTACAACCTGCAGAGGAACCCAACATAAACCCAGCACACATTTCACTACAACCTGCAGAGGAACCCAACACAAACCCAACACACACTTCACTACAATCTGCAGAGGAACCCAGCACACACTTCACTACAACCTGCAGAGGAGCCCAACATAAACCCAGCGCACATTTCACTACAACCTGCAGAGGAACCCAACACAAACCCAACACACATTTCACTACAACCTGCAGAGGAGCCCAACACAAACGCAGCACACACTTCACTACAACCTGCAGAGGGACCCAACACAAACCCAACACACACTTCACTACAACCTGCAGAGGAGCCCAACACACACTTCACTACAACCTGCAGAAGAGCCCAACACAAACCCAGCACACACTTCACTACAACCTGTAGAGGAACGCAACATAAACCCGGCGCACATTTCACTACAACCTGCAGAGGAACCCAACACACACCTCACTACAACCTGCAGAGGAACCCAGCACACACTTCACTACAACCTGCAGAGGAACCCAGCACACACTTCACTACAACCTGCAGAGGAACCCATCATAAACCCAGCACACATTTCACTACAACCTGCAGAGGAACCCAACACAAACCCAGCACACACTTCACTACAACCTGCAGAGGAACCCAACACAAACCCAGCACACACTTCACTACAACCTGCAAAGGGACCCAACACAAACCCAACACACACTTCACTACAACCTGCAGAGGAACCCAGCACACACTTCACTACAACTTGCAGAGGAACCCAACATAAACCCAGCACACACTTCAGTACAACCTGCAGAGGAACCCCACATAAACCCAGCTCACATTTCACTACAACCTGCAGAGGAACCCAACACAAACCCAACACACACTTCACTACAACCTGCAGAGGAGCCCAACACAAACCCAGCACACACTTCACTACAACCTGCAGAGGAACCCAACACACACTTCACTACAACCTGCAGAGGAGCCCAACATAAACCCAGCACACACTTCACTACAACCTGCAAAGGGACCCAACATAAACCCAGCCCACATTTCACTACAACCTGCAGAGGAACCCAACACACACCTCACTAGAACCTGCAGAGGAACCCAACATAAACCCAGCGCACATTTCACTACAACCTGCAGAGGAACCCAACACAAAACCCAACACACACTTCACTACAACCTCCAGAGGAACCCAGCACACACTTCACTACAACCTGCAGAGGAACCCAGCACACACTTCACTACAACCTGCAAAGGGACCCAACATAAACCCAGCGCACATTTCACTACAACCTGCAGAGGAACCCAGAACAAACCCAACACACACCTCACTACAATCTGCAGAGGAACCCAACATAAACCCAACACACATTTCACTACAACCTGCAGAGGAACCCAGAACAAACCCAACACACACTTCACTACAACCTGCAGAGGAACCCAGCACACACTTCACTACAACCTGCAAAGGGACCCAACATAAACCCAGCGCACATTTCACTACAACCTGCAGAGGAACCCAACACACACCCAGCACACACCTCACTACAACCTGCAGAGGAACCCAACACACACCTCACTACAACCTGCAGAGGAACCCAACACACACTTCACTACAACCTGCAGAGGAGCCCAACACACACTTCACTACAACCTGCAGAGGAGCCCAACACAAACCCAGCACACACTTCACTACAACCTGCAGAGGAGCCCAACACAAACCCAACACACACTTCACTACAACCTGCAGATTAACCCAATACAAACCCAACACACACTTCACTACAACCTGCAGAGAAGCCCAACACAAACCCAGCGCACACTTCACTACAACCTGCAGAGGAGCCCAACATAACCCAACACAACCCTTCATGACAAAATGCAATGAAACAACAGATGAGCATCCAAAGATTAGTGTTTTTTGGAGATTGCGAACAGGGTATTTCACATTATTTTCTCAGTACACTGTGTAATTTACACTCAAGGTAAGGATTGTCCAACAAGAATGCCTCTGACCACTCTTGCTATTGAACAGACTTGACTGGCAATGGGAGAAATCCCCCTGACAAAGCATAACCGCAGGCACGCACGCAGAAGTATTAACTTCCCTATTACCATATCACTGCTTACATTACATTATGCGTCATTTTGTAAGAAAGTGGTTACTTAAATAACTTGCTGATTGGGCATATTTATTCACACTGGCTTGGTTCTTTACATTCATCATCTACAACCCCAATTCCAAAAAAGTTGGGACGCTGTGTAAAATGTAAATAATTGTAAATAAAAACAGAATGCAATGATTTGCAAATCTCATAGACCCATATTTTATTCGCAATAGAACATAGAACACATATCAGATAATGAAAGTGAGATATTTTACCACTTCATGAAAAATAAGAGAAGACGGCGGTGTTTCTGGATCATGTTGACATATGATTTCTTCTTTGCATGATACCGCTTTAACTTGCATTTGTGGATTGCACAGCGAACTGTGTCCACAGACAGTGATTTCTGGAAGCGATCCTGAACCCATGTAGTGATTTCCAGTACAGAATCATGCCTGTTTTTAATGCAGTGCCGCCTGAGGGCCCGAAGACCACAAGCATCCAATATTGACCGTCGACCTGGTCCCTTGTGTACAGGAATTTCTCCAGGTTCTCTGAATCTTTTGATGATATTATGTACTGTAGATGGTGGGAATCCTCATAATTTTACGTTGAGGAACATTTTTCTGAAATTGTTCCACAATTTTTAGACACAGTTTTTCTCAGATTGGTGAACCTCTGCCCATCTTTGCTTCTGAGAGACTCTGCCTCTCTAAAATGCACTTTTTATAGCCAGTCATGTGAGTTGGTTGCAAATTGCTCCTCCAGCTGTTTTTTATTAGTACGCTTATTTTTCCAGCCTTTTGTTGCCCCTGTCCCAACTGTTTTGAGAAGCGTTGCTGCCATCAAGTTCTAAATGAGTTAATGTTTTTCATGAAACGGTCAAATGTCTCACTTTCAACATCTGATATGTGTTCTATGTTCCATTGTGAATAAAATATGGGTCTATGAGATTTGCAAATCATTGCATTCTGTTGTATTTACATTAATTACACAGCGTCCCAACTTTTTGGGCATTGGGGTTGATTAACACTAGCATAATCGTCATCAATGTTTTTATTAGCATTATTACTGTTGTCCATTTTTTTTCTCAACTTTGTGGTGGCCAGTTCCACCCATTAGTTAGGACTCCCCCATCACATGATGCTGCTAATCTGGGAGGGTGAAGGCAAGCATGTGCTTCTTCCAAAGAACATGAAGAGCTACCTCATCTTTCCAAACTGCCAGTAATGTCATGTTTGGAGAAGAATGCTAACCGCTAAAGCTAACTGCTAATAGCTGTGGCACTGCTGGGGTTCGAACTTGTGATGTCTTAAAGGTAGGTGATTGCTTGCACAGTTAAGCATCTTCTTTTTGTATTCATGGTGTCTGTATATGTTTGTGTGTGTCTGGGCGTACCTGAGGCTCTGCATGAGGTCAGTCGGGGCGTTGTTGTATCGTGGTGAGCGCCGTTTGACCTGGTGTTTGAACAGAGAGCAGGTTTCGGAGAAGTAGACTTTAGAGTAAACGTAGTAGAACCCTTGTTTCTGGATGTGCAGGCTGCCCTCTTTATATTCCAATCCACGAATGAACGGAGCCAAACCATCCTTCTGCCACTGCATCACTCCATCCGCACGTACCTCTCCATTCAGGCCTACACAAAGAACCACAACCTAATGAGAAACTGTAGAACAGACTCGGTTTATATCACAATACCTACATTTAGAGTCGGTTATTCATTCAGCCTAATGAGAAACTGTAGAACAGACTCAGTTTATATCACAATACCTACATTTAGAGTCGGTTATTCATTCAGCCTAATGAGAAACTGTAGAACAGACTCAGTTTATATCACAATACCTACATTTAGAGTCGGTTATTCATTCAGCCTAATGAGAAACTGTAGAACAGACTCAGTTTATATCACAATACCTACATTTAGAGTCGGTTATTCATTCAGCCTAATGAGAAACTGTAGAACTGACTCAGTTTATATCACAATACCTACATTTAGAGTCGGTTATTCATTCAGCCTAATGAGAAACTGTAGAACTGACTCAGTTTATATCACAATACCTACATTTAGGTAATTAGGCAAACGTTAGCTTGTTTTCCCGAACCTGCCTAGTTTCAGTTAGTTGCGACTAAGCTGGGTCAATAATATGAAATTCGAGAAATGTTCATCATTAGCAAAATTATCATGATAAACAGTGGCGGCAGAGAATCTTTACCGGGGTGGCAGGGAGTTTTGGTAGGGTGGCAGTGTGAATGTGTGAGCAGGGGTGGGGAGGTGTGAAGTTTCTATGTGCGACTGAGCGCAGGGGGGTGTCGGAGTGTTTCCCTGATTGCTGATAGAGAGCGTGGGGTGAAGCGATGTTCTGACAACAGCAAAACAACTCTCCTCTTTAAGGCCCCACAGCGATGTGGAACACAAAGAGGTGGCAGAAACTTTTGGGGTGGCTTCTTGGGTGGCCAACTAGATTTCAGGAAGGCCCTCAGCCACCCCTTTAGAACTACACATGGCAATAAACGATATCGTTGTGATCCAAGTTAAGTTACAAGGTACCACACATGTTAAACTGGAAGCTTACGTATTAAATCTGAACTTAAATTGATTAGGCTGATTGGAATGTGTGGTCCAGAGTTCAGTAAAGTCTGTCCAACCTCACAACAGTAGCTATGAAAAAGGACACATTTGTGGTTAGTTAGAATTCTGAAGTTGTACGATCTCCACAAACATAAAAAGCCATTTCTACAGGACTCCTAGTTGCCTTTCCACTGGAGGAATCAAAATCGACTCGTCGGATGTTTTATTAATATAATCAAAACAGTTCAAATTCAAAATATGCAAGGAAATAGTTTTAAAATTCCTAATTTAATTAAAGATATTCAAATTTGCATTTCTGGCTACTGTGAAAGGAGGTAAATCCTCGAAATTTGAAAAATAAGCACCTTTTTATAATTGACAAACATGTATGTATGTGTTGCGTGGCATGAACCCGTCTCTCGGACCCCGATGACAGCCGTGGCGGGAAGGTGGGGCCCAAATCCCACCGCCGAGGCATGGGAGCGACAGCGGGAGGAGGATGTCAGCCACCAGGGGTGGGGTGATGACAACAGTCACGAGAGGCACGAAGGCGAGTCCCGAACTCCGCCGCCCAGGCCCAGGCCGCTAGACTACACCATACGTTTGACCCTGGTGGCTGAGCTGGGACTGAAAAGGACTGAGAAGTCTAGCTTCGAAGCCCCTGAAAAGTGGCCAGCTTTGGTTCGGTGAGATTTAGTTTATGTTTGGTATGAAAACAAAGTTTTAAATGGCTGCTGCAACCATCATTCCTGCCTCCAGCGTCCTTCCTGAGCCCAGAGTTGCACGGGCCGTGCTACAGTGTGTATTTATGCATATTCGCGTGTGTGTTTTAATTCTTACCTTGCAGAAATGCAGCTGGTTTGTCCTCTTGCTCTGTGGCCTTCTTTTCCGGAATTGGAGGGATTTCATTTGAACTTCCTGAATGACCAATGACCAATCGTCAACTTTACTAACACTTAAACTCTCGAAACATTTCACAGTTTATGATCCTGTCACACATAAAGCTACACAGTGACATGAATGCTACTGTGTGTGTTGTGAGTGAGTGTGGGGTGTACTTACCGTCCCAGTCTGCTTTCTCTCCCTGAAAACGAACGAGTACACATTAGTAAATCACACACAAACACAGATATTTAAATATAGAAGTTGGTACTCAGTTACATGTACTCAAGTAACGTTTTGATGCATTTTTGTTTCCCGGAGTATTTACTGAACATTAAGACTTTCACTTAGTAAGTTCATCTATTTTTTTTCCTCAGTTTCATTTTCGTCATTATCATTTAGCTCCTAATTCTGTTTTCAGGGTTTCATTTCATTCTGTTGTGTTGGTTCAGCTCCTGTCCGGCTTTACTGTTGACCACACAATGCCGCATATCGGACACACTTCAGTTCCTGTGCTGACAGATGCTGGATGGTTCTACTGTAGTTCTATCAGTTACTCAGTACTTAAGTAGCTTTTCGAGCTGCTACTTTTGTACTTTGTCTACTCAAGTCTACTTAATAAAGACACACACTTAAAAAGATGATTCTTCAAGGGTTTGTTTAGAACCATGAGTTTTATATAGTGTATATAGTTCTTTGCATGGTGAAGTGGTTCTTCAGATGGATGGAGAATGTGTTGCTAGGGTTCAACATAGAGCTTTTTTGAAAATGGCTCTATATAGCACCAAAAAGGTTCTTCTATTGCTACACACTAAAAAAAGGATGGTTCTTCAAGCATTCTTTAGTAAAGAAAGTAGTTCCAAATGGAACCATAAACACTCAAAGAACCCTTTGCATGATTAAAGGGTTGTTTGCATAGTGAAATTGTTCTTCAGATCGATGGACAATGTGTTGCTATGGTTCTATATAGAACCTTTTTTTATTGTTCTATATAGCATTAAAACGGGTTCTTCTGTTGCTACACACTTAAAAAGGACAGTTCATCAAGGGTTCTTTAAAGATAATGATTCTATGTAGAACCATGAACACTCAAAGAACCCTTTGCATGATTAAATGGTTCTTTGCATGGTGAAATGGTTCTTAGGATGGATGGAGAATGTGTTTTACATAGAACGAAAAGATGATTCTTCAAGGCTTCTCTAAAGAAAATGGCTCTATATAGAGCCATGAACACTCAAATAACCATTTGCATGATTCGTTTCTTTACACGGTGAAAGTTTCTTCAGATTGATGGAGAACGCGCTGCAGAAGGTTCTGTGTAGCACCAAAAAGGGCTCTTCTATTGTTACAAGCTTGACATCAAAACACTAGCAGAACCCTTTTTGGTGCTATATAGAACCATTTTCACCAAGATTCCATATAGAACCATATACAACACGTTCTCCATCAATCCAAAGAACCTTTTCACCATGCAAAGATCTATTTCAGCACGAAATGGTTCTATAGAGAACTCATAGTTCCAAATAGAACCATTCCATTCACTAACGAACCATTGAAGACCCATCTTTTTTACTTTTACTGCTGTCATTATTTTTAACAAAGGAACAGCACTTGTGTTTGTGCGGTACTCACGGTTCTTTGGGCTGTTCTGCTGGTATCTGAGGAGGCCTGAAAGGAAACAGACAGAACGATTAACCTTAAAGCCAAACCACATCTGAGACGATGCACAATAAAAGTCAAATGGAGAACTGATGATGCAGCGGTTCACACTCGCCAAGCCGCAGCTCCTCGCTGTAATCTGTTCATACATACACCTGACACTAAGGATGACTGTACAGCTTGGCTTTGGTTAGATCGTTGGAGGAGGTGTTAAAGTCCAGTTTAGGGCAGTGCAAGATAAATGTGCATAAATGTGCCAACAGCACTGCTGCCTTCTGTTGTTTCCTAGTTATTGCCGGGCAAAAATCAGTCATGTGCCTATTACCATCATAATAAACTTTTATGCAAAGTTTGACAGTTCTATTTAAAATTGGACATGCCCATCAACTCTTATTCAACAGGGCAAAATATGCATAGAAATACGTTGAGGAAACCCAGCTTGGGACGACCCAATACACTCACACTCAGTGATTCAGTGCAGGATGTGATACAAGAACTTATATATGAAAACGATGAAATAATACTAACTGTAGCAATAATGAACAAACGGCTGAGTTTTGTTTGTCAATGTGTTAGCATTGACCTCTCTGGTGGCCGTGAGGTGAGAATGGGGAAGTCCATCAGAAGCTTCACGCAAAGACGTCAGAGAGACCACAAAGAAAGAGAAACTGCTGAGTCCAGTGTACAGTTTTCCCAGCAAACACACACCCACACAAACGCGGGTAAATCCACTGCAAATGACCAGATTTCTAAAAAAAAACGTTCCTGACTGACCGTCTCTGATCTGTTTCATAAATACTGGAAATACTGCCACTTTTAGGATTGTATCGTCATTATTTTCTCAGATAAAAGTGGTCATAAGCTTATATTTAAAGAACCTTTTGTTTATTTACATTCATTCATGATATCTAAATGTTTCTATTTGTAGTCTGTGTTATGTGCTCAGTTTTGTCATTGTATGAATAAGTGTAAAACTTTTAAAATCAATAAACAAAAAATTTCAAAATTGGGCTTAAAAACGTGGCTTTAAAATGACAGAAAAAGATGCAAATTTTGATCAGTCATATCTTTTGAACCACTGATGCCAGATTCATGACATTTACAGAGATTGGTCTTTGGTTTGAAGTATGTTTTTGAGAGTTTGCCATTTTATGACAGGATAAAAATACATAACTGTATAGTATGCAAGTATGTGATCGTACAGAACATAGTCTAATGTGTACATTCCTTTGAATATATTGTGTAAAATAAGACTACTATATTTATGTTTGGCATAAAATAATCAACTTCATATTCAGCACATTTACTAAATGCAATGTGCTCTTTAGATTAAAGCATACTTTATGGCACATTTTGCTACACATTTGTCAGCATGATGTGATTATTTTGTTTTTGTAACAGCTCATAAATCAAAGACCTTTATTGTTTTCATAATTATATCAAATGGGAAAAAGAGTGCAGTCACATGAGCATTAAATACCAAAATGTGAAAGATTTATTGTAAATAAGTGTGAAGATATAGAGGGCTAAGCTTCCTCTAATGCACAGTTTTTTCAGAAAGCATGAAAAAAAGGAGTAATTAAGCACAATTTTTTGCATTTGGCCTAAACTGTTCAACTTTTTTGCAGCTTTTTTCTTTGCATTCTTTGGAAGGTAAAAATTAAGACCACAGCTACTTTTAAAAGCCTCTAAATCTCAGAAATGAATGAAGATTTAAGCCTGAAATTCTGCAAACTCTCTACTGGGCACAATGACGTTGTTTCCTGAAAGTATTGCGCAAATCTGAGATGGGCAGTCAGGTGGTCTTCGGTTATTTCACAAGGACTGTGGGGTATTTCCATGTTCTTCTGTCTGGATGTGTAAATGCCGCTGTGCTCCAATTCAGTCTTAACCTTAAACTCAGCAAGCAAAACATCTAATAAACACTGTTTATTTGGAGAAAAAGCTGTTTTCTTTGAGGAGAGCAGACCAACACACAAAAATTCACTATTTACTGCCCACTTACTACTTATTTCACTATTTACTAGCAAACAAAACTGTTCTTCACTGCTTAAAACTCCTAAGCAGGCGATATTTGGTACACTTATACAGCTTTGTGCAAAAGTTTGGGCACCCTTGGTCAAATGATACGTGTTGTTGGTTTACTAAGTGAAAATTAGTTCTACTTCTGCACTTTTTAATGCACTGTGTATTTAAAAAATTAAGGCCTGTGAAAAAGTTTTGGCCTGTTTTCTATTATATACTTTTCAATATGTTAAATTCAATATGTTAAAAAATGTTTCGTTTTGTATTGTTTGTGTGTATGTTCTGTTGTTTCCCTGCTGGCTGAGGAGTTTGGCATCACATCCTTTGAGATAGCGGCCAAGAGTGATTTTCCAACTGTGGCTCAGAGGCTTCTTGGGCTGTTTGGGTGATCCTACATCACAGCTATGATGTGGCCTGGACTGGCCGCTTGAGTGGCGCTGTATTGTGGCTACGAGGCTACCTGGACCGGGGACCTGATCAAAAACACTTCACAGCTATGTGGCTGCCTGGGCTGACTGCTTGTATAGCTGCACCGCAGCTGTGGGGCTGCCTGGACCGGTAGTGTTCGGCTATCTGAGCGGCACTACACCGTGGCTACAAAGTCTCTTGGGGCCGGCTGCCTAAGTGACGCTCCGTCACAGCTACATGGCTGCCTGGACTGGCCACTTGGCTGACGCTGCACTGTATCTATGAGGCTGACAGGTCTGGTGGTGTTCAGCTGCAGGATAATGCTACCCCTTCGTGGCTAAGGACATTTTCAGATTTCAAGGCTTCCCGGGCCGGCCGCCTGTGTGATGCACCGTAGTTGTGGAGTAAGACTTTCCCCCATGGCTACGGACTCTGTTTGGGCTAGCTAAGTGACTCTGTACTGTATTCATTGTAATCCCCCTCTCACTAGCTGGAGTTGTGTGTGCTTCTGTGTTGTTTTATTTATTGTTGTTTATGTATTTTGGTATTTGCTGATCTCTTTGTAAAGCGTCTCTGGGCTTGAGAAAGGTGCTAAATGAATTGAAATTATTATTATTATTATTAAACCTTCGGTACACCTGCCCTGTATCTACACTCACTGATCACTTTATCGACTCTTATGGACTTGTGGACAGAACGTCCAGTGAAGTCAGAAGATCCTGTTTGTAATCTAAACGAATCCCTCACACTAATAAAGTCATTGATCAACTTTTTAATTTTGTTGCACTGAGAGCCAAAACCATAACCTGCATGCCATTACATAACGTGTTTAGCATGTGACTATACGTATGCACCAGATTTCTAATCAAAACGTGAAGCCAGCTTCCTTGCAAAAACACTGAGACACTAAACATGCTAACCTGACCACAAAACCATTGAAATCTGTTTAGATTAACGTTAGCCTACTAAAAATCTCAAGGGGAACTTTAGGCCAACGTTTTTTGTTTTTTGTTTTTTTTTTTTGCTTATTTATTTAACATTACAGGGAAAAACATGATAAAATATGAAATACAAAGGGTGCCATAACTTTTGCACAGGCAACATTGTATGTTATTTTTTTCCCAGTATATGTTAATTTCAGCAAAAAAAAAAATAGTAATAATAATAGTATAATAGTAATAGTGCCTTAAAATGTGTGATAGAAAGTGTAGGTTTTTTTCACATCAACAAAACATGGAACCAGGGAGATACAACTTTTGCATACGACTGCAAATCAATGAATATTTATAAATATTGTTTTTACTGTTGCAACTGAGTCAAATCATTACACACTCATAATTATGTACTACTATGTTTGTGTGGTCTCACACTGACTCCAATTACACTCTTATGGAATAACCCCAAACATCATTTCAGTCACAGTTTCGGCTATGAGGCATAAATGCACAATTATATATATTAATCACACCTCTAACCGTCCGAATAAGCGTGAAACAACACTCTCAGCTCACGATTCAATTTGATTCTCAATGCTGGGGTCACGATTGGATATTCTCATAATGGTCTGAACAAAATCTGAATAAAGAAAAAAAAAATCACTACTAAAGAACATATTGACTGGTGCTGTTTGCAAACTTCGGTGTTCAAATAATGCAACTGCGATAGACGGCATAATTAATAGGACGTCCATTCTCTGTGATGCGTTTTACTCCACGATGCACATTGACTCTTATTTTGTGTAAAAAGACTGTATGTTTGATGGACAAACTACTCTGTGTCTGATTCGTGAAACTTTGTGGAAACAAGTGGAGATTAAAGCTCAATCAGCTTCAGTGCGTGAAATCAAGCGCCGGCCTACCAGCACCTCGTTTACATATCATTACACTCTAATTCAGGCTTGTTTCAGTAGGGAGCCAATACACTGACAGCATTCAGCAGCTTGTGAGCCAATAGGTGTGCTTGTAGGTGGAGTTCGAGGTCAAGCAGAGAGTGCACGGCTCCCCCTACTGACCAAACTTTATAGGGTTAAAATCACAACCACTGGAAAAAGAATAAAATATGAAATGAATGGAATGAGTCTTAGTTTTATTAAGACGGTAGAGCGGCGTGTAAAATAACATATTTAAATGCAGTATTATTGCAATGTATGACACTAGGTGTGTTTTGTATTGTTATTTTGTGGGTGGAGTCAGTAGTATAAAACAAAACACAGTGTAATATGTCTTTAAATGGAGCATGCAGTATTTTTGTTCTACTCACTTTGTCACTGGGGTGGAATCCTCAAGGCTCCATCTTAGTCCCTTTAGTCAGGGAACATAACTGAACCATAATCCACTGAAATGATATGTTCTAAGCTGTACTGACTCCACACACCCCGTCTCGTCTCCAGGCTTTTATTTTACTGTTCTGTTTTAAAACATTCGGTTATGAAAAGGTACAAATACGAACTTTTCACCTGGAAAAACTTATTTAAGGTTCACAATCAGACCTTAAAACCACTGTTGGAGCTTTGAGGGAACATTTACACTGTTTGTACCTTGACGAATGAAAAATGTACCTGAACAGCACCTTAATTTCTAACGGTGTCCTGAATTGGCATGTGCACAAATTATTAGTATTACTGTTTTCTTATTATTGGCGTTATAGACAATATTGATAATATTTCTGGCTATTTAACCACGAATCAGGCTTTTTTTTCAGGTTGTTTAACCATTATGCTCAAATTTACACACTCCAACCAGACACGAGTGTGATTATGCAGATACGCCGGAGAGGAAACTGATGAATAAGATCAGATTTGACTGCAGGCAAATGTGATGAATTAGAGCCAGTGTTACATTTCTGCACTGTGATATCATGAAAACCAAAAATTAGGTCTTAAATTGGTGGTGCAACAGAGTAACCATAAGCATATATACACATACCTGATGTAAACGTGCGGTTGTGAAAAAGTTTTGGCGCCCCTGGTAAAACGCAGTTGATTTTCTGAGCGTAGATAAGTGAACACATCCTCTACAGCGACGCACTTCTGCACATTTTAATACACAATTACTGCTAATTTGCTGAATTTGACAAAGAGGGAAAAAATGAAAGCTAAAATGTGGCCTGTGCAAAAAGTTATGGCATGTCATATGTTGTGTTTTATTCTTTTTCATGTTAAACTCAGCAAATAAATGCACCAAAATTAGTCAAGTGTCATATTTGACCATGTCCCCTGTCGATGTGTTGACTTATTTTCACTTAGAAAACCCACAAAACATGTCATTTGCATTCATAAGCCCGAGTCTCTGCCTATTACTGCTATTAAAATCACATAAACTTGCTCACCCTTGCTATTTGCATTGCACTTGTGATATTACTGAGGTTTGAGGTCTTTTCGGCTGGCAAAATTTCATAACAGAAACCACGCGGGTCTTCCCCCGTTGACATCTGAACGCCAACGGACTCTTTTAATCTCCTTCCACAGACGTACGACCCTCCACTTCAAAAATACACACATCACACAGCCTCGTCTGCAGCGTTTAACACTTGAACGACGACAGCAAGGACGCGCAAGGAAGCGCTGCAGAGTGGGGGGTTACATTGTGAAAGAGAGAAAATCTCTGACTCATTGTGAAGAAATGTCTCAGTGCCGGAGGGAAGCTGGAGTGTAATTAACAGTAAAGGTGGCATTTAGAGAACTGAGAGCTGAGGTACTGTGATGAGTCTTCTGGTAAACTCATAAATCCTGATATTACACACAGCTCAGCTCTGGCCTAATTAAGGGCCTGCTGGAGCACACATGCACACGCACAAAGAGGTGGAACGGTTAAAGCCTAATACATGATGAATACCTGAATATCACAGTGTGCACAAAAAAGCAGTTTGATACTACATTATTTCGCTGCTGTCAGAACAAAACCTTCTATCTCTACTTTTATCATTTTTCAGTTTTTGACATAATTTGAAAATACCTGTTGGACTTTACATTGTATGTAAATTTCATGATGAATGGACCAAAAGAAACGGCCCAAAATGACTTGGAAAGACGTCTGGTTCCATTGACTTACATTAAAAGTAAAGTACGTTTCTTCCTTCTCCTGTAAAGTTACCATTTTGGAGGTACCTGAAAAAAAGTCTACATTAAAGGTTAAGAACGTTTTAGCTGTCTCTTGTAAAGTTACGCACTTAAAAATGATGGTTTTTCAAGGGTTTTTTTAGCAAAGAAAACGGTTCTATATAGAACCCAAAAAGGTTCTTCTGTTGTAAAAATGTCAGGCCTGTTACAATAGAACCCTTTTCAAAAAGGTTCTATATAAGGCCATCTACAGCACATTCTCTATCAATCTGAAGAACATTTTCATCATGAAAATGGTTCTTTGAGTGCTCATGGTTCTATATATAATAACTTTCATTACTAAAGAACCCTTGGAGAACCTTCTTTTTAAGTGTGTACTATTTGGTAGACAAGTTTGTTTTTATTTATGAATTTTTTTGGACAGTGATACAGTTAAAAAGGTGGTTCTTCAAAGGCACAGTGAGTGCTAGATAAAACCATTTGCATGCCTAAGTGTTCTTTGCATGGTGCAATAGTTTGGAGAATGTGTTGTATACGGTTCTATATAGAACCAAAAGGGTTCTTCTACTGTTAAAAGCTTGACATAAAAATAGCAGAGCCCTTTTTGGTGCTGTATAGAACCCTTTTCAAAAAAGGTTCTCTATAGAACCATCTACAGCACATTCTCCATCAATCTGAAAAAAAAACATTTCATGCTGCAATAAAACCCTTTAATCATGCAAGGGGTTCTTTGAGTGCTCATGGTTCTATACAGACCCATTTTCTTCACTAAAGAACCCTTGAAGAACCATCTTTTTAAGTGTGTACTAGTTTGTTTTTATTTATTTATTTTGTTGGACAGTGTTGATATATAAGCAAATACTGTATTACAGTAAAATATGCCTTTAAAAAAGGTGGTTCAAAGGCACCAGAACCATGAGTGCTATATAGAAGCATTGGCATGCTTAAGTGTTCTTTGCATGGTGCAATAGTTCATATTTAGAATGCGTTGCATATGGTTCTATGCAGAATCCTTTTGAAAATGGTTCTATATAGCACCAAAAGGGTTCTTCTACTGTTAAAAGCTTAACATCGTAAAAATAGCAGAACCCTTTATGGTGCTATATAGAACCATATACAACACATTCTCCATCAGTCTGAGGAATCATTTCACCAAAGAAAGATGTAAGCATGAAATGGTTCTATACAGCACTCGCTATACAACTAATGGTATTAGCAATGCCATTGACTTTAATAAGGAACCCTTGAAGAACCATCTTTTTTCAGTGTGTGTTTATACAGTAAGTCAGAAACCACCCTTCATTTATTTCATTAATAAAAAGGCAGGTTGAGCTTCTCTAGATCTTTTTGGGACACAAAACTCTTCATTCTCTTTATATTTTAAGATGATAGAAGATCTTTGAAAACAGGAGTTTCCAAAACTGGAGATCAAAAAAGATTAAAGATTACAGAGAAAATGAGACCCCTAACAACCACCTGGAAGATCCCATCAGATAAACAGCACTTAAAGCTTTCATCTTTGAGAGAGAGGAGAAAATCAAGCTCCACTCTCTGATAGATGAAATCTGCAGACACACCTCCAAAGTTCAGTCTTAGAAGCTGGTTGATCATTTTCTGAAGTAATCAAACACATTCAGTGGTGTTGAGGTCTGGACTCTGGGGTGGTCAGTCCATCGTTCAGCTTCTTTGTTTGATGTGTCCGTCTCCTTTTCTCAGTGAGGTTCTTCTTGACAGCTACACATCCTTTCAGACCCACAGCGCTGAGTCGTCTTCTCACAGTGGAAGGATGGACAGAAACACCTGTGGATGTTTTCAGATCTGAAGCAGCTTGATTTTCTCCTCTCTCTCAGAGATGAAAGCTTTAAGTGCTGTTTATCTGATGGGGGCAGTTTTGGGGTTGACCAGCTCTTCCAGGTGGTTGTTAGGAGGAACATTTTCTCTGTAGCTTTTAATCAGTTTTTGAACTGATATCATCTTAAAATATAGCCAGAATCAAGGCTCATCCCTGCTTTAATCTCCAGCAGTGTGGACTACTGTAATGTTCTCTTAACCAGATCTTCCAAAAAGACCATTAAACAGCTACAGCTCATTCAGAAAGCTGGTGCTAGAGCTTTAACCAGGACCAGGAGAGCAGAGCTCATTACTGCAGCTGTATAGATAGAAAATGCTGCTACAAAAGGCCCAGAAAACATCTCTGATATGTTATCAGAACATAAACCTGGGTTTCTTTTAGACTCATGGACTCAGGACAGCTAGTCAAACCCAACGTCCAGACTAAACATGGTGAAGCAGCATTTAGCTGTTAACTCACATTACTTTTACTGCACTTTACCCTTAATAGGCTAATTTTAATATCACTTAAGTCCATTGTTTTAAATCTATTTTATGTTTTATTCTCCATTATGTACTTCATGCTTTATTTGAATTGTTTTTTTTATTTCTATCTTTTATTTTATGTCTTTATTTTTCCTTTTGATGTTCCTTTCGCTTTTACTTATGTAAAGCACACTGACTTGCCTTTGCGTATGAAATGTGCTGTATGAATAAACATTCGTTTTCAGTTATTTTCCTTTGACTTTCTCCTTCCTTATGCAAGAGGATTATCATATATGTAATATATTCCCACAAATATGGATAACTTGTACTTAATAGCTATTTTGACTGGAAATTAAATAAATAAAGGAGGTCTCAAACTTTTGGACAGTACTATTTATACTTCTCCAAAATGATAACTTTACAGGAGAAAGAAAAAAATATACTTTACTTTTAATGTAAATCAGTGGAACCAGACTTTTTTCCAACTCCAGTCTCCAATTTGTGTCATTTCTTTTGGTCCATTAATCATGAAATCAACACATTAAGTAAAGGGAAACAGTCAAAAACTGAAAAATGTATTAAACTATATATATATATATATATATATATATATATATATATAGTTATATCATGCACACCTGAACGTAACAGTGCACTGACCTGTGCTGCAGACGGTTGGTACAGCTCGTAGATGAAAATGGCCTCTATGGCGACCCCCAGCAGAGCAAGGCCCACCAGCAGGTACAGTAAATATGGCTTGTTTTTGTTTGACGCATGTCTGACCTCACTGGGCTGCAGGGTTGCAGGAGCCTGACTGTCCACCACAAACACTTGCGGGCAGCCAGCTGGACCCGCCTCCATCATGCACTCGTTTGGTACTGCTCACAGTCCCTCCGTCGTCTTTGTAAAGTTCTATGGTCAATCAGCTCGTGTCCGAAATTAGATGAAGAAAATCTTTAGAAATCTGTCCATCCGTCAAACAACAGTGAGTCAGTGAGAGACGTCCAGGCAGAAAAAAAACCCAGACAAATGACGGAAGCAAACAAACAGCAGCAGAAGCCGAAAAATCAGGTGACGAAAAACTACTTTGCAACTTCATCCATTCATAAAACTGCAATATTAAAACTCTGCAGATCTCCTCCAGAGAGCCTTGAGTCCTCAGCACAGGCAAAATGAGTAGCAGTCAATGCACTAACAGCTGAAAATCAGCACTGCTGTCCGTCCCGAAGACTGAAGATTAGTCTCAGATTCAATGTAGAAGCTCCTCAGGCGCTCCGTATGTCTGTGAACGAGAGCAAGTAGGTCAAAGAATGAGAAAAGTCACAGAGAAGAGAACGAAACAATGATTTCGCGTTTAAATGAATGAGGTGAGAGGTTTCATGAATCAGCAGAGTCTCAAATCTTCAAAATCTCAAGCAAAACCTTTGAAAAAAAAAAAGATATAGCAACAAAAACGTGATGCACTAACAGCTGGAAAGATGTATCTCTTCACTTTATGTGATTAGAAGCGAGTCCTTGTTCCAGATCAGATGAAGCAAGTCACCTTTCAAGCTTTGCTGAACTGAAAAGGTGAGTGGGTGCATGACTGAGAGAAGTCTGAGTGAAAAAGTGTAAGAAAGATATTTCTGAAGCAAATGAATGAGGCATATCATGACTCAGCAGCTGCTTCTCAAAAAAACCCTTGAAAATTTAGTCCTCAAAATCTAACTAGCCTAACTGACCAGGGCCCAGTTTCCTAGTGCTGGACATAGTTTTTGGTGTGATGGTCGTTCTATCATTTCAGAATGACCTTTGTGCTGAGATACTGCTGGAAAACCCAGCCCAGTTCAGCTCTGGCTTAATACTTAGCAAAACTGACCAGTTTAGCAACTGCTTAACACTTGCTTAATGAGACTGACCTCTTTAGGTATTGCTTAACAATTAGCCAAACTAACCAGCAAACTAGCTGCTTTATATTAAGCAAATATGTCCAGTTTAAATCCTGTTTTACTGAGAAAAACAGAAAAATTAAGAAATTGCTTTACAGTTACAAAAATTGAACAATTAGCAACAGCTTTACACTTAGCAAACTGACCAATTTAAATCATGCTTTACACTGACCAAATTGACCAATTTAGCAACTGCTAAACAATTAGTGAACTAGTGAGTTTGGTTCATGCTTTCCACATAACAAAACTGACTAATTTGGCTTTATGCATACAAAAATTAGAAAAACTGAACATTAAACACTGACCAAAACTGACCTATGCAAACTGCTTTACACTGAGCAAAACTGACCTATTAAAACATCTTTACACTTAGCAAAAACCTATTAAAACTGCTTTACACTGAGCAAAACTGACCTATTAAAACTGCTTTACACTTAGCAAAACTGACCTATTAAAACTGCTTTACACTTAGCAAAACTGACCTATTAAAACTGCTTTACACTGAGCAAAACTGACCTATTAAAACATCTTTACACTTAGCAAAAACCTATTAAAACTGCTTTACACTGAGCAAAACTGACCTATTAAAACATCTTTACACTTAGCAAAACTGACCTATTAAAACTGCTTTACACTGAGCAAAACTGACCTATTAAAACTGCTTTACACTTAGCAAAAACCTATTAAAACTGCTTTACACTGAGCAAAACTGACCTATTAAAACATCTTTACACTTAGCAAAACTGACCTATTAAAACTGCTTTACACTGAGCAAAACTGACCTATTAAAACTGCTTTACACTGAGCAAAACTGACCACCTAAACTGCTTTACACTGAGCAAAACTGACCTATTAAACTGCTTTACACTGAGCAAAACTGACCTATTAAAACTGCTTTACACCGAGCAAAACTGACCACCTAAACTGTTTTACACTGAGCAAAACTGACCTATTAAAACTGCTTTACACTTAGCAAAACTGACCACCTAAACTGCTTTACACTGAGCAAAACTGACCTATTAAACTGCTTTACACTGAGCAAAACTGACCTATTAAAACTGCTTTACACCGAGCAAAACTGACCACCTAAACTGTTTTACACTGAGCAAAACTGACCTATTAAAACTGCTTTACACTGAGCAAAACTGACCACCTAAACTGCTTTACACTCAGCAAAACTGACCAATTTTGCTCATGTTTTACACAAACAAAACTGACCCATTTACACTGACCAAAACTGACCAATTCAGACTTACCAACACTGACTAGTTGAACTCTAATATGGACAAAAACACTGAGACCATACCGGCATCTTGAACCACGCAGTTATGAACGTCCTTCTCTCTCTCTCTTTCTCATACACACACACACACACACACACACACACACACACACACACACACACACAAACACACACACACCCTTGCTGACATTTCCTCATTGTGTGTCACTGTATGTGTTTGTGATGTCAGAGGGACTATTTCAGCCAGACACGCCCTCCTCCAACATTTCACTACAGTTATCTTCACCCAAAACTTCCCTTTTTCTGTTTCTCTCTTTTACTGAATGCCTTTCGCTCTCTCTGTCTCTCTGTCTCTCTCTCTCTCTCTCTCTCGCTCTCTCGCTCTCTCTCTCTCTCTCTCTCTCTCGCTCTCTCGCTCTCTCTCTCTCTTCACCAAGGCCTGCTCAGTGATCTTATCTGAGTGACCGAATTGTGAAAAGAACAGAGACTATTTCAATCATAAATTGCATCAGAAACTTTCCTACACTGAGAAACCAAAACTATCCTGAAAAAAGTACAAAGTGTAAATTTATGACAGGAGACCAGTCACTTCATTACGTACACATCCTTGTTTCTACACTCACTGTCCATTTTATCAGCTCCACTGACCACATAGTTTCACTTTGTAGTTCTACAGTTACAGACTGTAGTCCATCTGTTTCTCTGCATACTCTGTTACCCTGTTTTTCAGTGGTCAGAACCCCCACAGGACCAACACAGAGCAGGTACTATTTGGGTGGTGGGACATTCTCAGCACTGCAGTAACACTGACGTGGTGGTGGTGCTGTGTTAGTGTGTGTTGTGCTGGTGCGAGTGGATCAGACACAGCAGTGCTGCTGGAGTCTATGCAATTTCTGGGGGCATCAAGGATAAACCTAGAACCAAACTCGTGTTCTTCAAACTACTTTTCATAACAAGAAAGTCCTACTTTTTACTGTATTAATGTTTGTTTGCATGTATTTGAATGTTATTTGGTGATTTACAGCAAAAAAAAAAATCACCCAGCTAAATGGTTTTAAACAAAGTTAAACAGAGTTTAGTTCCTAAGCAAATAGTACTTTACAGTGCAGTACTGTATAGACTTAAAGATATACCGTTATATACATATATACACTCACTGGCCACTTTATAACTTATATCTTCATTCCTGATGTACGCACGAAACCTTCAGTTGTGGTGTCCATGTGATGAATGGAATGTTCCCATGAAAATGGGAAGCATCTCATTGGTCTAATGAGGAACCTCTGCACTGATCAACAACCCACAGTCATGACAGAAACTGGAGAAACAGACAGGCTCCACATCGGCAAAGGAGTCAGACAAGGTTGCCCCCTATCCCCATATTTATTTAGCCTGTATGCTGAACCCATAGGGGTGGAGGAAGATCATCCAGGATCCAAGATTTGTGGAAGAAACATCAATATCTGTTGAAATGCATAAGACACGGCGCTTATAACGGCCCACGGCCCAGTTAAAGCCCGGAGCGAAAAGATGGGACTTCAGCTCAACACGAAGAAATCAAAGGTTACGACAACAGAAGAGACCACAAACTTCACCACTGATGATTCAGACGTAAAAGTGGTGAACAGCTTTTACCTATTTCAATCATTTATTAACAACAAATGAAATTTGACCCAGATTAGCACTCAGAAGAACCAGAGTGAAGAAGCTCGTGAAGATCTTCAAATGTAACGATGTGTCTACAAACAGAGACCTCAATGCTTCAGGCTCTGGTCTTTGTTTGTGGTTCTCTATGGACTTGAAATCTAGATGATAATAATGCACACGAGAAAATCCTGATGCCTTTGATCTCTGTTGTTGGTGAAGACTTTTGAGAATACTGAAAACAAAAGGATTCTTGCCCAAATCAGGCCTGACCTCTGACCTCTCATTTGAAGCCCAGATAAGCAAGCTGAAGCTGTCTATCTATCCATGTATATTTAGGCTCAAACAATCTCAAACAATGAAAATAATTCATCTTGATTTATCTTGATATCACATTTTTATTTTGTAGTAAATTTGTGGTGTCACTACCCTGCATTTTAGAGCAGGAAGTGAGGCTGCATCCCTGTCCCTCATGGCCACATGGTGAGCAGTTAGATCCCATTGTTTTGAAGTCAATGTGTCCCAAAGTCTGAGAATCAGTGTGGAACATTAAGAATCATTATATTTCCAGCAGATAAGTAACGTTTTTATGTTTTAATGAAAAATATGATGATTTTCTGTGTCAAAGCTGGGTTTGCTGGTCATGTGCTGGCTGTGTTTTTGAGCTCAAAATGAGCTGAAACTGTCACCCCCGAAACAGTCACTACTGAAACTTTGGGTAAAGTTACAATAGTGTTAAAGAATTAAATAAATAAACAATTAAAATAATTCATCTTGATTCATCACATTTTTTGTGTAGTGACTCGAAATTTGCGAATTTGATCCAATTTGATCCCAAATATAGATTTTTTTTTTTTTCCATTTTAAAGCAGATGATTTTGCTGGAGCTATATGACTTGACAGAATTCGCTTCTAGGCTTCATCAGAATGTGTGTATTACTGTCAGTAATTCAATAATATAAACCTGAGCTTGAAAATCATGTGATTTCCATACAGTAAACACAGCGTTCAATTTCCATCACCGATACTGAGAACAGCACAACCTGTGAGTTTCAATTTAACCATGACTGTATATGTTCCTCTCACTCTCACACGTCTGTTCTATGTGTTGTTTCGATGATAACTAGAGCTTTGCACTCTGCTGGTGCGTTTGTTGGTTCACTCCTTGGCTTGCCCATGTTTGTCCAGTGAGCACTGTATTATTGTTTGTTTGCATGTATTTGAATATTGATGAAGTCTGTTTAATAGTCTATTGAAGGCGTCCACCATTGTTAACGTTACTGATATTGTGGATTTGGCTGTCGTCAGCACTGTCATCTGTCATACTGTCATCAATGATTCTTCAGACTCAATGTTCCTCAGTGAGACAAATTCACAGCATGGCAGTAATTAGTTTTAGCAACGGAGCCATTTGAAGTTGTATCTGAATGAGTGGATCACAGTCACAGAGTTGATTGAACTGCATATACTGTATTAAATAGCACATCAAATCAGTGCACCATTAGTAATGCCATTCCTGTTCTGAGCATAATAATTGTTGATATTGTGCTGACTGAGTCACAGCTTACATCAGCAGCTGAACTTCAGGCTGGAACTACAGAGGGCTCAAAGGGTCAAACTCAGAAAAAGCATTAATGGTGTGGCATCAATAGTTTATTGCTTTCACACATTTAACACCACTGATATATGGACCATTCCACCAAACCAGTTTTAAAAACTGTTCATATGACATATTCAAACCTTAGATATTTATAATGACTATGGTGTCATCTATTTAAACCCAAGACATTAACAGAGATAGAAATCATAATTTGTAGGGCACTTTCTATTGAGAAAAGTGTAGAACACTAAATTTACACATATTTTTCATTTATTTTGATGTTGAAAGATCTAAATTTTTCTTATCACTAGCAAAACACAGAGTTTAAATATGTGGGCGGAGCCTCATTTTAGCCACGCCCCTGCGTTTTAGAGCAGGAAGTGAGTAAATGCGTAGTGTTTACTGAAAAAATATGATGATTTTCTGTGTGAACAGCTGTTCAAAGCTGTGTTTGCTGGTCATGTACTGGCTGCGTTTTTGAGGTCAAAATGAGCTAAAATTGTCACCACCGAAACAGTCACTACTGAAACATTTGGTAAAGTTAGAGTACTGCAGTGACTGTTTTGGTAGTGATAAAATAAAATAGCGTCACTCAAAGTGAAAGGATTTTAGTCTAAAGTCCGAAATCAGTTAAAAGTCTGAAATGTGTTGCAGCTCTGATTTTGAACCCGTTCAGTAGAATCGTCCATATATGCACTTTGTAGCTGCACACAATAATATCTATCATATCAATAACATCAATGTATTCTGGTGTCTGTGCCAGGAATGAAGTCGTTTCTAAAGAACATGATGTAGAGACAGTGTTAAAGGGTCAGCCACAGAGAGAGAGAGACAGCGAGAGACAGAGAGCGGAAAAAACAGATGACCTCAGGTAACCGCAGTTATCTGATCACCTCCAAACAGACACACATACACACATACACACACACACACACACACACACACACACACACCACCCCGCTGCATGCAGGTCAGTGGAAAAACACAAATTCATCTAACATTCATTCAAACATACACACTGCTGCATGCAGGTCAGTGGAAAAGTACCTTTATTCACACACATAAATACACCAGTGACACTCAGACACCTCAAACGGTGCACATGGATTCTCTATCTCTGTGCACAAGCGTGCAAACTCTTTTTTTCCAAACCACATGTACACACACACACACACACACACACAAACACAAACATACACACACACATACAGTTCCGGTAGCTGTTGGCTCAGAGTGATAGATGGAGACAGGAAGCTGCTGCAGTAGAGCTAAACAAGCCTATATACACATAGGCAAATGTACAGCAATCACCCTTTGTTTATTTCATTTACAGTCAAAATGACCAATAAGTGCAAGTTATTTATTTTTTTAGGAGATGTTTCTGAACAGATCAGATGTAAGATGACCCACGTGCATAAGAAAGGAGGAAGTCAAAAAACAGCAGTTTCCAAAAAATGAAGCTACAGAGAAAATGGGGCTCCTAACAACCACCTGAAGACCTGGTAGACCCCCAAAGGTGTCCCCATCAGATAAACAGCACAAAGTGACAGCAAAGTCCCAGAAACCATAGTGGAAAATATTACAAATGTGTGTATGATATTAACACTTGTGTTATTTTAAACATCTAGCAAAGTGTGGGTGTGGCCTACAATTCTTATAAGCATGCATGATTGACATCCAGCACCATCAGCCTGCTACTAAACACAACAGCACAAGTAAAATGAGGGAAAATAAGTGAAAATGCTTTACACCCATCGCTCATATTTATTCATATATATTAATATGTCAAAAACTCATATTTCTGCTGTTCCATTCATCAAGTCAAATCAAGTCAAAGTTTATTTATATAGCACTTTTTACAACAGGCTTTGTCACAAAGCAGCTTTACAGAAAGATCTGGGTCCGAGCCCCCATGAGCGTCGCCAATGAGGGTAGGGTAAAACTCCCTAAGAGCAAGAGGAAGAAACCTTGAGAGGAACCAAGACTCAAACGGGGAACCCATCCTCCTCTGGTCGACACTGGATAGCAAACAATAACAGCTGAGAATAAG